TAGCGCTTTTCACATCTTCTAGACGTCTCAAAGCGCTTCACAGAATAGACTCTAAAGTGAATTAACTGTATATTTGTGGGCGAACGCGGCAGCCAATTGCGCACGCAGTGTCCCACAAACAGTCGTGGATTGAAATGACCAATTTATTATTTTTTTTTTTCTTGAGGGATTATTATCAGGCGTGTGGAGTAAGGAAACTTGCCCAAGGATTCACCCTGCCGTGAATCGAACCCTGGTATCTCGCTTGCAAAGCGAGTGCTCTAACCACTGAGCTAAAGGACTCCACATTTAAGCTATTGTACTACAATAAGTTGCATTTATATAAAACACGCTTCACATTGGGCAACGTCTCAGAGCCTTCACAGGGAAGAGATTGGACACCAAGCAACGGAGGGGGAGAGAGAGAAGTGGCCATAGACACATTCAAAGAGGTAGGACTTGAAGCAGCACTGAAAGACGGAAAGAGGGGGTGAGGCACAGTGGTAGAGGAAAGGAATCTGGAGGTTCCTACACCAATGATGTCGTGGAATGGGCAGGGAACGCTCAGAAAGCCATAGTTAGCTGAGAGGAGGATGCAGGCGAAGGGGTTAGGTAGGAGGAGATCGGAGAGATAAGAAGATACCAGAGAGTGGGTGGGTTTGTAGGTGAGGGCTAGGACCTAAAATCGATGCACTGGGAGATAGGAAGCCAGCGCAGACTGACAATGACTGGGTGATGCGGTAACAGCACCCTACAAATTTCCTTGTGTGTTTTTTTTTAAAAAGGAGGATGAATTTAGCAACTTCTCATTTAGAAACAATCCACTGCGTAACAAAAGCTTAGCATTAACTTTATAACTCTAAGGAACAAGTGAAACTAGGGCAAATCAACAGAAAATGTTAATGAACTAATTAAACTCCCTTTGGTGATATAAATCTAAAATTCTAAAAATGCTATGCAAATGTGAATGCTACTAGTCGATCAATTTTTTTCAAACCACAGTATAATTTAAAGAAACTGTAAGGCAAAATTAGAAAGCAATTGTTTTCAAATCTTAAGGGTAACTGCGTTATTTTGTGCTACACACTGTAGCTTAAACAATAGAAACGTGCACTCAAACCCAATTTGTACAGTGCTTAAAACATGTGTAAGGAGGGAGAATACTGGTAAATAACGCATATACACATAGCAAAATACTTAGAACAATACTGACAGGACTCTTAACTATTGTTTTTGTGTTGGTAGGGATAAATTCATTCCTGTTTTAACTCTATACATCAGGCAACATCAAATGATAAATTTAGCAACTTCTCATTTAGAAACAATCCATTGCTTAACAAAAGCTCAGCATAAACTTTATAGCTCTAAACAACAAGTGAACCTAGGGCAAATCAACAGAAAATGTTAATGAGCTAATTAAAAGACGAATCCGGAAACCAACAATTAGTCAGAGTTTTTTTGAGATTTCTTGGAAACAAACTAAACAAAATTTGAATTAATTTGCCTCAATCAGCCTCTCACGATCATGGGATAAGGGTGGTCATATTGGATACATGAAGAAATAAAAAGTATGCTTGTGTTATGCATGAATTTGATATTGGACCCTTGGGCAGTTTTACACAAGGTATCAAGGGCTGTATATGGTGGGTGAATGGAATGCCAAGTGCTAAATTAGGATTGAAAAATTGTTCCTTAGAAAAGCAGTCGTGTTACAATACAATACAAAATTACATTTATATAGCGCTTTCACGTCGAGAGGATGTCCCAAGGAGCTTACACAAGTATGGCCAGCACAAAACCGTTTCGATAGGAGGAACTCCCAGGTATGTTATGCTGACCGGTGAGACCAAAGTACCTCTCACAGTGGACATCTTGCTAGCTGGCCTGGCAAAAATGGGCTTCCCTGGGAGACAGTTTACGCCGCAAAATGCTTTCTCTGATTGCCAGGTGCCAGTATCACTTCCACTTTCCTGAGGAGTGCTTTTCCAATTCCAGTGTAGTAAAAGTAACAGCAAGACCAGCTAGTTTTAACCGCAGATGATGACAACCTCTATTTTGCAGCCAAATCATTTGCAGCCAAAAAAATGCTCCGAGTCTCTGTGCGGATTAGTTGTTGAGTTCACCTACAAAATATGCAGTCTCTAAACTTTACAGTGAAGCACACTGAGACATCCTTCCACTTGAAAGGCACTTTATGAAATGTAAGGATTATTATTATTAAAATTGCTCTCTCAACCTGATACCACACGCAGCCATTATTGTCACACTTTGTCTTTAAAACTGAATTTACATCCAGTGCCACTAGAGGACACTAAAAACTGAGTAACCTCGTCCATTTGTGGTTGTTTTTGGTCAACTGATTACTGTAAATAGACTCCCACACATTATTAGTTGGACCAAGTTCCTGTAACAACTTCTTTCAGAATAGATGTGCGAAAAAAAACAGTAATGCCAAATCTCATTCACTCGGAGCCCATCAGAACTCTTCTAGAATAAAATACCACAAAAAAATGGACAGTGATGTTGTACTCAAGTTCTAGGAAGCAGAAATTTGTTTAATGTACAAAAGAGTCATAACAAAAGAGGCATCCCAGTTATTTATCAGCAAAAAAAGTACATTTGACAAACTATCTAATTTAGCCTAAAATGTACCAATATAATTTTATATACAATGACCACTTTTCTGGGGATTTTTTTGGTTTTGTTCAAAAAGAACAAACCTCAACTTTCCTTTCATGTCTCCCCCATTCAAATTAGCTGATTTCGCAAATGAACATCCTAAATCAAACCTAATAATGAAAGGAAGTTACAAAATGTGTTTAAAAAATGTTGTTTTTGATCATGTTGAAACCCACCGTGCTCAAGAGTATCCAAACCAGTGTTAAAGTTCCATTTATGCCATCTACACGTGTACATTTCAGAGTTTGGAATGGAATATGCACTCTGTCCCTGGAGGGACTCACCCTGCTTACTGATTTCTGGAGAATATTAGGTGTAGCTTGGCAAGAGGCAAGATCCACAGTGTGCTCTGAAGCACTGCTGCAATTTCACCAGTTAAAACCGCATAGCAAGCTTCCTGTTGCTTGGCCAGCTAGGGTCATCCTTCTGGTAGGGTTTTGACTTGCAGATTTAACAGAGGTGGGAAGAATCCCTGCTCCCAATGTTGCCCTCCAAGTCCTGCCTAAGAGACAGCCGATCTGGGCTGTCATCAGCACTGCCCTGGAAACTGCGGACCTGCTTTTCTCAGTAACCAGACTAACTTTAGATACTGGCTTTATAAAAGCATTAGATAGCGACAGTAAGAACGTTTATTCGTCAAGTTTGATCTGGTATTACAACCCCGATGCTTTTGAAGATGGGATCAGCAAAAGTGGAATCAGCAAAATAAGGCAATGTATCTATTGCAAGTCTTGCAAACTTCTCACTCAATGGGATACTTTGAAGTGTCGCAGCAGTGGTTATATAGGTGCACAAAGTAGAAAACATATACATCCATTGATATTTCAAGACGAGTTGCCAGAGATGAGATAATTTCTGAACTCTAATACATTCAAGTAGAACCATTTTGAACTTGCTTTCTGTAATATAATTACTATTTGTATATACAATATAATAATAATAATCCTTGCATTTGATATAGCACTTTTCACGTCGGGAGGACGTCCCAAAGCGCTTCACAGAACACACTGTAAAGTGAATTGACTGTATATTTGTGGGCGAACGCGCAGCCAATTGCGCACAGCAATGTCCCACAAACAGTCGTAGATTGAAAATGACCAATTTATTATTGTTTTTTTGGAGGGATTATTATTAGTCGTGTGGAGTAAGGAAACTTGCCCAAGGTTTTGCCCTGCCTGAAATTGAACTCAGGTCTCTCGCTTGCAAAGCGAGTGCTCTAACCACTGAGCTACAGGACTCCACAAACATAAACCTGTAATTCTGCAACATATCCAATATATTTTGAATTAGCAAGTGGTAGCAACACTTTTTAGCAACTAAATCAAGACACTAAAAGGAGTACATGACTCATTTTGTTTCACCTCACTGAGATAATCAATACCGGTTCTGTTTAGAAACAAACTAAGGAATGTAAATCTTTGTAGTGTGGAATTGAAGTGAGAGTCATTCTGCCCTGCTCAGTATATAAAGTCACTACTATTTAGAGTAATTACTGTAAAAGGTGCCTTGACAATGGGAAAGACACTATATCAAACACAAGAATTATTATTATTATTAAGTTGGTGAGAATTCCTGAAATTGACAGGTGGAGCCTTAAGTTTCTGAGGCTCCACCTGTCAACTGAGCTGGAAGGAGAAAGGACTGACATCAAATGAAACAGATTACAAATGCAATCAGTTTACTTTCACTGATAAGAAATCGATTAACAATTGGGAGTGTGCAGAATACAAATCCAGTGCCACTGATATTAGTAATCTATTGAATATAACTGAGATCACAGTTGTGAGCAGGATTTCTACTTTTGGATACTTTGCCGACCAAAAACCGAAGTAAAGAGAAAGCAATAAGAAAGGTAACTAAGATGATTCCAAAATATCGATCGGAGTTACAAGTTCAAACAGTTACATTTCTTTTGTAGCGGAAACTGGAATTAGAGGTTTAATGTCTCATTAGAAAGATGGCACCTCCAACATTACAGGACATCCCCAGCACTGCATTGGAGTGTCAGCCTGGGCTATGAGTTCAAATGCCTGAACTAGAAACTGGACTCATAAACTAGATGCTGCTGACTGAGCCATTGGGAGTGTTAGCATTTGAATGGGTCAAATGACCTTCATTTCATTCTTATGTTCTTACAGGTTTCCACAAAAGTAAAATAATTTGACTGTAAACTGATCATGGCTGTTCATGATATGATCAAACTGAAAAGCGAGGACACTTTAGGTACAACTTAAAATGTACAGAAATTGCATGTGATAATTAAATTAAAACACAGCAATACATTTTAATATCAGACATCAACCAAAAATCTAGGTTAAGTATTGGAGGAGAATATTGTGTACCTGTTGGCATGAGACAGTCCTTCCAGTCAAAATATCCAGCATAAATCCCAGGCTCCAGAGAACCAGCAATTGGATCTGCTTTCATCTCAATGTAAGTTTCAAACAGCGTCTGGTCCAGTTTCTTCACTGCATCAATACTCATCTGCAAATCATGATAATGTTAATTTAGGGAAGTCTTCTAAAGAATAAATAATAATCCTTTCATTTTGGATAAAGCCTTATCATATCGTGGAGACATCTCAAAGCGCTTCACAGAATATACTGCAATGTGGTGCATCTTGTGTATTCTTCGGGTGAACGTGATAGTCAATATGTGCACAACAATGACAGCGACCACCAAAGAACATCCAAACAAAACATTAGAGATGTGGACGGGGGAGGGGAAACAAATCAAAAGTAGATGTCTGGTGTTTACGTACTGCAAAGGGGCAGTTGATACTATACAGAACACTTTTCATTATATCAACTCAATTATGTAACCACAACCACTCAATTGCCCTTTATTAGATATCTTCAAAGTTGATCAAATTAAGGTACATGATATTCATTCATAGAGTAATGAATCAAGACTTATTACATTTTAACCTATTCAATAAATTGCACAATATTTATTCCCACTTGCAACACAGATTAATATTCATCATTAGAGCATGCATTTATAACACATTTTACAAAAATTGCTAGTAATAGGTTTCTGATGGGATTCCTTAAAAAAGCTTGTACGTATGTCATGCTGTTCCAAGGAAAGTCCTCTCGTACACAATTTAATTTCAAAGTTGAGTTTCCAAACATGGGTTAGCCTGACATGTTGCTGGAAGAGACCTTACCTAAGTTTTATTATCAAGGGACCCTGTGAGAAATTGATGGGTATTCAATCCCATCAAGTCTCTTCACATGTTCAGTGCACGGCTTGGTAGTGCATCGACAATGCCCCACATGGTGAGTTACTCACCACAACAATTCCATTGTGAGGAGGTGTTAGATAGAAGACAGATGCTTGCCACAGCCAGTGGAGGAAGGAAAAGTGGTACAGTACTCTGACTGATCACTGTTCGGATATTGCAAAGACCTGGAAATAAGTTGATTTCCCCCATCTCATCCCATTTACTCGTCTATGTAATACGATAAACCCTTGAGAACTCTCCTCTGGCTTAACTTATCAATACCACTTAAATCATCATATTGTCAATATCCCGGCTCCATTCATTTATGTATTTATACATTTGCCTAACTCGCCATTCCAGATAACTCATCAATGATCCCTTTTCCTTTGGAGTGACGAGTTATTAGGAGTTTACTACATGTAAATATTATTTAATTTTAAAATAAGGATAAGTCTTGCAATTAATAGTTAACTAGGGAAGGGGAGTACAGTGTAACCTGGTCTTTATACCCATGGAGATTCATTTTTCGTAAAACAACCCCTTATGCAAGTAGAATTTCTGGCTTGTACTACACACGGCAGTGGAACTGATAGTCATTCTAGCAGTGGTTTGTGATAAAACAAACTGTTGAATTAAACCACCACTTGAACCAGTGGTATGAACAAGTAAAATTGCAACCATTAGTGTAATATGCTGTAAAGGATCTGTGGTAAATGTTAAATTCCCATCTACTTTCTACTTTAAATGTATTACATGTGCAAGTTCAAAATGGTCTTATCTGCACTGGGAAATCACTAATTCTGGTGTCCAAGTCTCACCTGTAGCAGACTATATGTTACCCGACATAGTTCCAATTTTCTCTGGTCTGCTTGGTTGAGATCAGCTAACTCAGGCCAGACCAGGATTGATTCCATAGTGCGTATAGTGCTTGGCTGCCATCCAGAGAAGATGGATCATACCAATGTTTTACGTTTTAGTTCCTTATCAGTGAATTATTAAAAATATATTGCTTCAGTCCCAAAAGATCATAGAATCATAGAATGTTACGGCACAGAAGGAGGCCATTCGGCCCATCGAGTCTGTGCCGGCTCTTTGACAGAGCAACTGACTTTTATTAACCCCACTCACCAGCTTTCTCCCCATAACCCTGCAAACCAATCTTCCCCAGATACCGATCCAGTTCTCTCTTAAAAGCTGTTATCGAATCGGACTTCACTGCCCTTTCGGGCAGATCATTCCAAATTCTAACAACTCGCTGAGTGAAAACATTTCTTCTAACGTCCCCTCTGCTTCTTTTGGTAGATATCTTAAGACTGTGACCACGAGTCACAGACACACCTACCAGCGGAAACAGCTTTTCCTTATCTAGCCTGTCGAAACCTTTCATGATCTTGAAGACCTCTATCAGGTCCCCGCGTAACCTTCTCTGCTCTAATGGGAAAAGTCCTAACTTTTCCAGCCTGTCCTCATAGCTAAGGTTCCCCATTCCTGGTATCATTCTCGTGAATCTCCTCTGCACCCTTTCCAGTGCCTTAATATCCTTCCTGAGGTAAGGTGCCCAGAACTGGACGCAGTACTCCAGCTGAGGCCTAACCAGTGTTTTGTACAGATTAAGCATAACCTCTCTACTCTTATACTCTATGCCCCTACTAATGAAGCTCAGTACACCAAATGCCCTTTTTACTGCCCTATCTACCTGCTCTGCCACCTTCAATGAATCGCTTACTTGAACGCCCAGATCTCTCTGTACGTTCACCCCCTTAAGATTGAGCTACCAAGCCTATATTGCCTCCTATCATTTTTCCTACCTAAGTGTATCACCTCGCACTTATCTACATTGAAATCCATCTGCCACATGTCAGCCCATTCCACCATTCTGTGTATGTCTGCCTGCAGTCCGTCACAACCTTCTTCACTATTTACTACCCTACCTAACTTGGTATCATCTGCAAACTTGGAAATAGTGCTCCCTATGCCCAAGTCCAGATCATTAATATATATTAGAAAGAGCAGTGGTCCCAATACCGATCCCTGGGGGACACCGCTGCACACCTCCTTCCATTGCGAGAAACACCCATTAACCACCACCCTCTGCATTCTGTCACTCAGCCAGTTCCTAATCCAAACGGCTACTGTCCCCTTAATACCGTGGGCCTCCAGTTTTTTTATTAACCTCTTATGCGGTACTGTGTCAAAAGCCTTTTTAAAATCCATGTAAATAATGTCCACCGCATTTCCCTCATCAACCCTCGCAGTCACCTCTTCAAAAAATTCTATTAGATTTGTTAGGCAAGATTTGCCTTTAACAAATCCATGTTGGCTGTCTCTAATTACCTCGTGTTCCTCTAAGTAGAGATTTATTTTGTCCCGGATTACGGTCTCCAGTAGCTTTCCTATTACCGAAGTTAGGCTGACTGGCCTGTAATTTCCGGGCTTGTCTTTCTGCCCCTTTTTGTAGAGTGGGGTAACATTAGCTACTCTCCAGTCTCTTGGCACCACTCCTGTGTCCAATGACGATTGAAATATAATGGCCAAAGCCTCCGCTATTTGAACCCGTATCTCCCACAGCAACCTTGGGTGAAACCCATCTGGTCCTGGTGACTTATCAATTTTGAGCCCAGTCAATCTTTTCAGAACTTCCTCTCTGTCTATAGTAATCTGATCTATTTCCTCTATCCTGTCATCCAATACTGTGACATTTGGGGCATCCGTTTCTATTGTGAAGACAGATGCAAAGTATTTGTTTAGTACATCAGCCAAGCCCTCTGCCTCCACAACAAGATTGCCGTCATTGTCTTTGATTGGCCCCACCCTACCTTTAACTAACCTTTTTTCCTTTATGTGCTTATAAAATATTTTAGGATTCCCCTTTATGTTACCCGCTAACCTCTTCTCATGCGATCTTTTAGCCTGTCTTATCGCTCTTTTAAGATCACTCCTGCATTCTCTATAATGCGCTTTGCTATCCTCAGTGTCTTTCATCCGCCAATTGTCGTATGCCATCTTCTTCTTTTTCATCCTAGACAGAATATCCCTGGTCACCCAAGTAGGTTTGGTTCTCGCACATTTCCCTCTTGTGGGAATATATCTATTTAGACCCTGAGCTATCGTATCTTTGAAGATTTCCCATTGCTCATGAGTCGTTTTACCTGCAATATTTGAGGCATCTATAGGCCCTTAACATGCCTCAAATATTGCAGTCTATAGATATGTAATTGTACAACATCCAAAGCATTATTACAAAAATTACACTAACCCAATAAATACATATAATAAGAATCCTTGCACACAAACACATGAAATAACAAAAATAAATAAAATGCTTAATTGCAGTCACATCCAGAATTGTGGGCAATGGCACACTTTCATGTCTGGAATTAATACAGCAAAGAACTGTAGTGCAGGAGACCACAGCTGAAAAGAGGTCAAGTGCATCCAACTGCACCAACATATCGGGACATCCCAACTTTTCAGCAAAAAACTGCTCTCTCCAACATCATAAATCTAGGTAACTGCTCAGTGCTATTGGGATCTTATACTGTTTCAAAGAACCTCTTTAACATCCTGATTTTCATGCATTCTACAAACAAATTGTGCGTACAAAATTACATTTGTATAGTACCCTTCACATCCGGAGGAGTCCTAGAGATACTTAATGAGGGAACTGTTCACATATATTATTTATTATTGCAGCAATAATGAATAGAATTCTGATTGCAATTGTTCTGAGATGCTACCCTGCACGAAGGGAGCAATATAAAAGCAAGTTGTTGTTGTTCGTGTTGAAATCTAAAGAGATTAATTAACTGTACAAACATTAATAATGTAAACAGATACTATCCACATGTTTATACCAATATTACTCACACGGAGATTTTATAACTGGGGGTAGGAACATTTCCTCATTGCTTTTGTTTTATTAAGATTGGCAACCAGCCACTTTAGCCTGCAGTAGGGGGACAGTGATAACTTTTATTAAGCGTTTTGCTGCCCATGACCACAAATCAGGGATATCTGAAGTATTACTTTTCAGCTAAAGCGGACAGCAAAGCTCACAAAATATAGATTTGTATGAGAAGTTTTATTGCAAACACAAAGCCTTATCAGAGAGCAATGCTATAAGATGCAGCACTGAGTTAAATCACAAATCCTAATTCAGGTTACTTGATCTGGTGGGAATGTATCCTGGTGTCCTGGCCAACAATCCCCCAAAATAAAAATGGTAATTTATTTCATGACTGATTGTGTGGGCTGCTGA